TGGAGATCTTTTAAGGTTGGTATTATTTTTTGTTAAAAATTCAGGGGAAGCAGAGGCTATTTTGGCTAAAGCACAAGCAACAAACAAAGGCATTGCTTTGGTTTCTCAAGCCCTTAAAGAAAGTGGAGGAGTTGAGGTAAGCTCCTCTGTTCTGTAATTGTGTGGTTTAAGTCTTTTGGGCTTATTGGTTTAAGATGTATGATTTATGACTCGTCTATATAGATAGGGATGGGAATGGGATTGGGATGATGTTTATTTTTGGAATTTGTAAAAATTCAGTTTAGACTGTCTGAAGCTGAAAGGTGGTTGGGTGTTTGCAGGCAGCAAGCTTGCGAGTTGCAGAACAATACATCAATGCTTTTGGAAACGTGGCAAAGGAGGTGAGTGGGTTTTTGCATTCACCATGCATTGCTTGCAATTTGCTATTTGCTACTACTACTTTTACCTTTATTTTATTTTGTTTGTGGTTGTGGTTGTATACAGGGGACGACATTGTTGCTTCCTATGAATGCTTCGAACCCTGCCAGCATCATGGCTCAGGCTCTAAACATATACAAAAGCTTAATCGGTCCTGGTCCTGGACATACCAGCGACTCAACAGCTGCAGAAGCCAACAGCACTCAACATGACACTCATTCTCATTCTAGCCTCCTCGGAGGATCACCCGTCTTTTCTCTTCAAGACAAAAGGAAGAATTAAATAAAATTCCATTCCATTGATAAACTACATAGCCATTCAACTTACTATTTTACTTTGTGTACTCAGTCAGATGAGATTTGGTTTTTGGTCAAGACAGCATGTCATGTCATGTCCCTTTTTTTTTTTTTTTGCATATAGTTTCACTTTTTTTAGTCTTATTAGTTAAAAAAAAATTGAAAAATGCAAATGTGATTTTCTATGGGTCTAGACAAACAGTTGAAAATAACCCAACCCTTTTCTTCAAGGATCATTTTGCAATATGTTATCTTGGATTGACTGCTTGTTTGCTTCATCATAATAAGAGAAGACAAAGAAGGCTTTTGATCCTTTGAGTTACTTCCCAAGGTTTGCCTGTTTTCCATGAATCAATCAAGCATGAATTGTTTTGCTACTGGTTGATTAATTTTGTGTAATTGGCCAACAGCAATGGAAGAGAAGCTGAAAACATATATATCTTGAGCCTTTTTGCAAATGAGAACTATGAATTATCGTTGAAAGAATTATTGATGTTAAATTTGTTAAAAGACGGTAGTCTAAACTCTAGAGTAGAGTACAGGGGCGTGCTTGGTAGATAGGATGAGCTTGAAGGAACATATGGTTTAACTACAAAAAAAAAAGAAGTCAAAACACCCTATCACAAATTCAATTCACGTAAGCTGGTAGAAGATGAAGATTGAGGTGAACCCAACTGTGAAAGCATTTTCATGGCGAAAGCCAAAAAACAACACTTCCCCAATATTCCACCTCCATTCAAGTCAAGGAACATTTTTTTTTTTTTTTTTTTTTTTTCTATCTATAAAAGTCAGCTTCATCTGTGCTAGTACAACTCTTTGACGCCCATGCATGATGCATCGTTCATTCATTCTTTTCCCGTTGGTTCCTCTATATCAACTGAAAGGAATTTGGGAAGACAAAATCAAGAATTCAACTTTCATGCTTGGAAGTAGTGGAGTTCCGTAGGTTTTTATCGTATTTAATAATATACCTATACTTACTTGCATACGTCTATATGATTAATGACTAGAGGTTTAAATGGACGAATGGTAACAATCCATACAGTCCTGGCTAGGTTGTTTGAAATTTAAGCCTATTCATTAAGATGACCAGGTAGTAGATACATACAGTCCGCACCAATAGGTGAAATTATTCACGCCACACACGGGAGCTGTTTTAAAGCACTTCACTGGGCATGACCCGGGAGTAATCGGGTCGGGACAGAGAGAGGCTGATACGTCATCGGATGGTAGCCGAAGGAAATCTCGATTGGCCGTGCTAGGGAGGCAAAGCGGTTACTGCCACGAAAATGATGAAAAAGGGAGGGAGAGAGATTTGTTGGGCATGGTGACGGAGGCGGGCTAATCTTGCTCGCCTTGCTGCTCGAGATATTCCGATCGCAATTGAATCCCTAAAGCAGATAAAAGGAAGTTGGGGTTTCGGAAGAACCTGGATTAATGGATGAAGACGATTAACGGACAGCCGGAGGAGGATATGATCGGTTACGCGTATTTTGCAGGTATTTGTTAACTTATTCCCTCTTTTACATCGTTGATTTGCTGGAATTCTTTGTTTCTTTCTTTATATTCTTTTTGGGAAGACGAATCAAACATACAAAATAAGCAAACCACACAACGGGTTCCCCTTTTCTATTTCTATTTCTATTTTTATTTTTTATTTTTTACTAGTTTACAACCCGTGTGCTACACGGTTGATATAGTAAGTAAAATAAAATAAAGACTATAAAAATCGTAATAATTAATCATAAATATCAATTTTATATTTATATATTACAAAATCTAGTTAAAAAAATATTATATATAATGAGATATATTAAAAAAATATCAAAACATAGAAGATTATATAATATATGTAACCCAAATTAAGCACCATGGATAAGTGAATACGAGTAGGGTCATTACATGTAATAAGACAATTAATTAAACTCAATGAACGTCGATAAAAAGATTATAAAATCATTCATCAAACTTTTACGGTAGTTATTTTTTGTACACAATTCAATTTACACCTTCTCTTTTGGTGGGTTAAGAACTCCAAGACTCGCTTTCTCAAATCCAGCTTTCAAAATCAACGTAGTCTCGAATCACCTATTCAATTTTTTTTTGTAAAGGCTACAAATGTATCTACAAACTCCAAAAAAATGTTTAATTGAAAAATTAATTTACTCATTTACACTTAGACAATTAAATCTAGCGAAAAGAGCTCAAATCTCACTTTGAAATATAAAACAACTATCCAAATAGATATAATGAGTTCAATTTAAATATGGACCTAGTTGAAAAATAGATATTATACGGAACGTTGCAAGCCTTATAACGAATATATTGTAAATATGAGTTCAATTTATCAATTATGCCTATTAAAATTAATTGAAATTGATGTTACGAATATGTATGTACTTGTTAAACCTCCGACTCCATATAGGAACAAATATTAACTAATGTTACTACTTCATGTAATGATAGATCCCACTTGATTGGTAAAACCTTATAATCCTAAAAAAATAAACAAGTCATCAATGTTGGCATAAACTATCACAAACTACTTGAATGTTTTTTTTTTTTTTTTCCAACGAGCAACATACTTGAATGTTAAAACCTTATAATCCTGCAAAATTACCAATATAAATAAATTAAGTTCTATTTTATAGAATAATTCGGGTATTTAAATAATATTTGCACATACCAAAGGGCTTCTAGCCCAACGGTATCAGGTGGTACCCTCCCTTTTTGAGGTTGAGGGTTCAAGTCCCATCGTGGACATAGGTGAAATTAGGTGTTAATTTAGGAGTAGATTAGTATATTTGTATTTGCCGGTTCAAAAAAAAAAAAAAAAAAAAAATTTGCACATGATACACCTACAAATACACATATAACCCAATCCCTCTGCTTGACCTTTAGTAAAATATGTCAAAGTTCTCCATTACTCCATTGTATATACCTTCCTACAAACAATGGAACTCAGATCATTACATTCAGAACCACAAAAGAATTAATCTACAAAAATGAAATAAATCAATAAGATTCCATTTTACGTTTTACTCACAGAGGCTCACAATATCATATCTTTCGTCAAACATTCTACTTTTAACTCAACCCCCAATTTCTCCTTTAAAACAGCAACAAACAACACCAGATTATAGAATATGAAACAAAACTTGTCTATACAGATACACATTTAAACTCTTATATTGACACCCTAAAATTAATATGTAGAATATATTCAGCTATTTTACTAACCATGGAGTTTTCCTTCATAATGAAAAAACAATGAAAAACCAATATACTTTGAAAAATTATTCATTCAGACATTTCATCAAACACTTTATCTACGTACTTAAAAAAAACTTTCATCAATCAAAGTTATATTATTAATGGACTTAACAGCTAAAAGTTTTATTAAGCAAACATGAATGCATCTTAGGACTTTTTAGTTATGAGAAATCAAATATCTCTTTCATGCACAAAGGTCATATTTGAAATCGATGTCATTTTGATCAAGTATGTAGTTAAAAATAAAATTGGAAGAAGAAGAATGATACATTACTAACCTCAAATCTTGAAATCGAGAATGCTTGGTAGAAAAGAAACAACCGTTGTTGAGGATATATTATATAATACAGAGGTAGTATGCAGTTATATAATACATAGTTAGTATGCAATGGTATATTTGAACCGGTTGATTTGAAAACATGATTTCAAAATTAGAGAAGATGCATGTCTTACATTGAATCGATATAGTTTTTACCTTAATAATCTGGTGCAATTGATAGTAATATAGCGGGAATAAGATTGAAAGGGTGCATGGAAAATTAAGATTCAAAATCAAATCAAATCAAATTGGAAGAATTAAACTTATTAATGAGATTTTTAATTTAAGAAAATGAGGTAACTATCTTTTTATTTATTTTATTTTATTTTTTAAATGACTTGTAATTTGGTGTTCGTATAAAAAATATCATTATTTTTTTATTCAAAAATACCATTAATATATGTTGCATGCATACATTTTACTAAAATAATGTTTTTTCATTGTACATATCATCCTATTGGTAACTGGTTTCAAAAGATAATACACTTATTTTTAAAAACTAGAAAAATAAAATGGGTATGTGAAAATTATTAGTGAATACGTTGCTAATACACCTAAGTATGTCTGTTTACAAGCTTTATTACACCCGTCTCCCCTTAAACACTCTTGCTCAGTGAAAATTAGGGGTTTTCAAACACTCTCAAAATACTTCAACATTCCTCACGTAATCGAAGCTTCTCTCTGAGAAGTTGATAATGGCTTGTCCATTGAATGCAAACGAAGCAAGTTCTATTATAGTAGATGTTCACTACGAGGGAATATTTTCCCCCAAACCTCTTGTTTACTTCCAACATATAAAAGCATCAATTCGAGATGTCGATTTTGGTGGAATAGAATTCAAGGAGTTCATTTCTGTTTTTGAAAAAATCACTAAGCGAAAGTGTACTGATGTCTACTACTATCTAGGGCATAAGTCATTAAGAGATGAGTTAAGACCACTAACATATGATGATGATTACACTAGGTTTCTTGATGATGCAAATGGTAATGGTGGAAGATTAGTGTATACGTTGATCACTAGAACGAACCTCTATTTGAATGGATTGAGGAAGAGAAAGCAGAAAAAGGTGTTGATAGTGAAAGCTTTGATGAAGATACAAATTCAGTCTTTTCTGATGCTCTATCTGTTGATCTTGAACCCGATAAAGAGGTAATACCACTTACTCTCTATGATGATCCTTTTCTCAACTATATTAGTGTTATCTCTAGAGATGATGTTGCTGATGAGGAAGATGATTCAAATAATGGAACCAAACAAGTCCTAGTTTATCCTTTTCATGACCCAAATCAGAAATAAGGTACAATGTAACCCATCATTGGTATGAGATTTTATATCCTCAAGAACTCAAACAACTTGTATCCAACTATGCAGTATCAAATGGTTATAACCTCTGGTATGAAAAAATGATAAAACAAGGCTGTTAGTCAGGTGTTGTAAAACTAGTAAAGGAAAGACAATGTGTCCTTTTATACTATGGACAACTTGGATGAGTAGTGAAAAATCATTCCAAATTAAGTCCTTAGTTAATGAGCATAATTGTGATAGAACCTTCAAGTTTGGGTAAGTTGTAACATACATATGGATTGGGAAACATTTTGTTTATGAGATTTTAGAAAATGCAAAAATGAGTTATAGGGAAATGAAGACTAAGGTTGGGGGTAATTTCAATGTCAATGTAAGTGTGGGCCAGTACAAAAATGAAAAGAAGTTTGCACTTACTGAGATTGAAGGCAGTTTGAACTCACATTATGAAAAACTGTGGAGTTATGGATATGAAATTGAGATAAAATCCTAGGTCAACAATGCAAATTGATAAGATATAATGCCTGATTCCATAGTTTTTTTTAAACATGTACATTTGTATCAAAGGTGTAAAGGATGATTGGATTGAAGGGTGCATGAGGGTTATATGTGTATATGGGTGTTTTCTACAGGGTATTTTTTAGAGTATTAGCAGTTGGAAGAGACACTAACAACCATATCTACCCCATTGCTTGGGCAGTAGTTGCAGTTAAGAACAAAACAACTTGGAAATGGTTTTTAGACCTACTTCTTGATGACATTAACATGGGAAATGGAGCAGGATTAACCATAATTTCTGACCATCATAAGGTATTTGCTATCGTGGCATTATAGTAATAATTTTTAATGTAACGCAACAAATTTCAATTAAAACATTATGTAACATCCAAAAATAGGGTCCCAAAAATTTCATTTTAATAATAGATAAAATAGTATTTTCCAATATCATCAAAACATTTAAATAAAAACCAATGTATCAATTGCTATAAAATCAGAGTAAAAGCGGAATCCCAATGGTGTGTGCGATGCAGTCATCCCGAGCTCTTCCCTTTACAACCAGAAGTACCTAAAACATAAACTAAAAATGTTAAGCACAAAGCTTAGTGAGTTCCCCCAAAATACCACATAACAACGATACAATAAACATATAGTGGGCCTCGCCTTGTCATCAGGCCCTGCCCGACATTGGACCCCATCCGGGGCGGGGCCATCGAGCTGAGCTAGGTAAAACGGGCCCCGCCCAACATACAATAACATATATCAAATAAAAACATACACATTATCACACCCCCGAATTGGAACAACGGAAATGTTTGGGGGCGAGTGACTTCATCTTGTAATATCATAACAAGTGTATATAAATGAAACATAGGGATCATCATCACCATACATATAAGATAACAACATACATGGTTTGCATCATTGTGTTTGTTCATAAGGTTACATCCCAAAAAATATCAAGTGTATGGTGAAAACAAAATACAAAAAAAGTCCAAGTTCCTTAGTTGCCCACCTGCTTAATGAGTTCCCGAGAATACAAGCTATCTTGAAAAGCGTCAACATATAAAATGTTGGTGAGTTCATAAACATGTTTATAAGAAAACTTTGCATTAGTTCGTGAACACCAGAAAATCCGATATTTTCTGTAAAAGTAGTTTGTGAGTATTATTTGAAATCTTGTATTATAGCATGTGCATCCTTATTTTATCTTGTTTGAAAAATGTATAGAGAGTGATTCCCAGAAAATCCTGTATTTTCTGTGTCATGAGAAATTGTGGTCTTAAACCCTAAGACAGGAGTGAGGTGGATAGTACAAATAATCAACACAGTGTTTATACTTTGCAAAACTGAATGGTATGTATATTCAACATAAATCTTATAATAGTTTTGTTATTCTCTATGTGAGTTGTTATATCCATACTAATATGATGGAGTGCCTGTCTTGACGTTCTTCAGGCATCAGTTTCTGAGAAAACATTTTTCACCCTAGACTGGCCTGTCTAGCTATAGCGAGCAAATCAGGTGTGGGATGTCAACCCCGTATATATCTATACACAAATTCCCGTTCTCCCTCCAGGAGACTCTGGTTATAACTACAGGGATTACGGTGTACACTAAGGTAGGTACGGTGAAGGTGCATCTCACAAGATCCTTAACGAAATTTTTACGTGTAACATCCCAAGATTTGTCATTTATAGTCCCTGGGGATTGAAGGGTGAAGCCATGAAAGTCTAAGGGCTAAATTTCAATTATTAGGATCAGGAGGAGTACGTTGAGCGTACATAAGGGTACACTGAGTGTTCTAGGTGCGCCTTAGTACGTTGGGCGTACACTTGTGTACGCAGGGCATACTCATGGTAGAAGGAAACCCTAATATTTAGGGTTTGGGGCCTATATAAGCAATATTATAATCACAAGACCCTACCTTATCCCATCCTCCACTGCTTAGAGTCGTTTTCCCAAACCCTAGCCATTTCCTTGAGTGTTATTGAGTGTTTTAAGAAGAGGGTGTTGCATCAAGGAGTTGGAGAAGAAGATCAAGCTTGTAGATCTGAAGTTGGTTTGTGCCCTAGAAGCCCCAGAAGGTAAAAAGCTTGGAACATTATACTTGTATGAGTTAGATCTAGTCATTTTAGCTTTTTGGAAGCATTATTGTCCCAAAAGTATCAAATGGCGCATGCTATGATTTGGACGAAATGAGTTGTCCTTTCAAACCTTAGAAGAGGTCCTAAGTGATAAAAATGGTGTCCCAATAGCTAGATTTGTCTCATGGATGAAGTAGGAAGGTCTTAATGGATTAAGACCATGTGTTAAGAACTTTATGGACATCCAAAGTGGTAAAGTTTGAGACTTTATAGTCCTATGGAACATTTGGTCGATGGATCTGGAGTTTGGGCTTAAGTGCTTAAGTCATTAAGCACTTATTAGGGTTTTGGTGAAACCCCGTGTACGCTCAACGTAAATCCACTTCGCCCATCGTACTGGGTCAACCACCCCGATGGTGGTCAACATCTGACGAGTACTCCCCGCGTACGTCATCTGTTGGGCATTTGGCAATTGGGCTTCGGGTTTTGGGTTGTTTATGTACTAGTTGGATTTGGGCCTTTGTTGTACTTTATGAATATTATGTTTTGGGCCAAGTCTTGATAATGGATCTTTGAATTAGGCCCAATTAGGGAGTTGGGTCCAATTTGGTAAAGTGGGCCAATATTGGGCTGCGCATAAGGACTTTCAAGGTTATAGAATGACATTGGGCCTTGGCCCAATAAAGAGAATGGACATGATGGATTGTGTGGACCCCCTTAGTCAAGATTGTTATGTTGTGTAATGACTTGGTATTTATTATTTGGATAGTTCGGATTGTTGGTGAGGCAGCGATTCAGGTGTTCGATTCTTCAGCCCAGATCGACATTGTGAGGTGAGTTATCCTCACTGTACGCAAGGGTCTAAGGCACCAAGGCTGGCCCTTTGATTTGTTATTTGGGATTGTTGCTGGTATGATTTGTTAGCTCGGTATCCTGGTAGATAGGATTGTTATATGCTGGTATGATCTGTTAGATCGGTATCCTGGTCGATAGGATGGTTATATGCTAGTATGATCTGTTAGATCAGTATCCTGGTAGATAGGATGGTTATATGCTGGTATGATCTATTAGATAGATATTCTAGTAGATAGGATGGTTATATGTTGGTATGATCTGTTAGATCGGTATCCTGGTAGATAGGATGATTATATGCTGATATGATCAATAGATCGGTATTCTGGTAGATTGGATGGTTATATGCTAGTATGATCTGTTAGATCGGTATCCTGGTAGATTGGATGTGGACATGCTTAGTGACCTATAGTTGGTCTGACTGTCTGTATGATGGTAGGATATTACCTGTTATATGTGCACATGATTATCTGATATAGGTGCACATGTTTGATTGGTTATGTTGGCATTCCAACCCGATGGTTGATGGCCTGGGGTAGTCAATCCCGATGGATGATTGGACCCATATTATCTGTTATATATGTATTGTGTGTGGGCATTCCAACCCGATGGTTGTGGGCCGAGAGTATTACATCTTGAGGATGATTGGACTCGTAGTGTGTGGGCATTCCAACCCGATGGTTGAGGGCTTGGGGTATTCCATCTCGATGGATGATTAGACCCATAGTATGCTGTTTGTTATTGTATGTGTATTGTTGTGTGTATGGGTATTTTAGGGGTAACTCACTAAGCCTTCAAGCTTATAGTTTCAGTTTATTTTTTTAGGTTCAACCAATGACCGCGGGAAGGTGAAGGCGTGACCATACACTTCTTCGATTGACGATTTTGATTTCTAGGAACTATGATGTTTAAACTATTTTGAAAACAAATTGTAATAATTGAATGGTTTTAAATGATTTAAAGGTTTAAATTTGGCATGAATTTTACGGGTGTTACAAGTTGGTATCAGAGCCTTGGTTTGAGTGAATTGGAGGAACACTCGTGTGAATCCAGTCTCAAACTAAGGAAAATGTTTTCAAAATGATTTTTAATGGTTTTCAAAATAAGAAAGTAGAATGTGAATTGTATGATCAGCTGGAGCCAGTAAGTAGACCCCAAAATTGTTGGAGTAGTGTCTAAGGCTGTAACTATATTTGGTAATTACTTGACCCGGTTGTGCATGGTCCTTTTAGGTTGCCTTCACCATAGCAACTTGACAAGGTGATTTATATAGAGAGGAGGAATATTATTATTAATGTGTTGTAAGAATAATATATTAAAAGAATAATAATATTATTTGATTGATATAAGTCATAAATTAATTAGGAATTAATTTGGTGACTTAAAGAGATTAATTAAATAAAAAGGCATAAACTGTCAAATGTGTGATACTTGTGTTTTAGGCTGTGAATCCTTATGGATATGGGAAGGGACGATTTTAAGGATATGGATATCCTAGAAATCGTCCAAGGCCCTATCTAGAAGGATATTTGGATTGCTTTGAGGCTAAGTTATCCAATTAGGGTTTAAGGTAAAACCCTAGGAGCTTGTAGTATAAATAGACCCTTAGGGAAGGAGAAATCGGCCACTCTATGCTTCAAGGAAACCCTAGAACCGATTTCTCACCTCTCTCTCTCTCTCATATCATCTTCTTGCTAGTAGGTGTTTGTAAGCCATTAGAGGAGTGACAATTATGACTCTAAGCTCCAAGGAAAAGAAGTTTTCAAGCAAGTAACTCAAGGTATTATTCTAGATCTGATTTCATATGTTGTAAATTGTTTTTTTACACTAGATCTATGATTCAAAGTCTTGGATACAAAGCATGTTCAATTAGAGAAACCTAGATCCAAGCAATAGGGTTTGCATGTGCACATAGGAAAGTTCTTATGGCTCAAACCCATTAGTGGTATCAGAGCCTTGATTGGTTTCAATTGAATATGATGCTTAACTGTTTCGCTTGCTGAAAATCGTTTTTCTTGGCCTTTGTCCAACCTAACTCGGCAAGTCAGTTTTTGGACTCGACGAGTTGGCCCTACTCGGCGAGTCCAAAGCTGATTCGGCGAGTCCAAGCGTTAGGTAGAGGATATTTCGGGATTTTGTTGCTGTTTTGTCTTGGATTTGATACCTAAATCGTTTTGCTATGTTAAAATCCGAATTTTGACAAAGTTTTATGATTATCCTTGACATAACAATAGATAATTTCAAATCTTTTTAATATTGGTTATTTATATGATAAATATTGGCTATTTAAAATTATTTGGTAATTATCTAATGACTAAAATTGGATTAGGTCAAATATAGATAATTATGTTATTTGTTATTTGATCCTTCTAGTTTTGAAAAGTTCAAATTTGTCCC